ATGTTCACAAACAAGCAAACTACAACAGTTTACTTATTCTCCATAAGAATAACATGGGAATTTTAAATGTACAATTTTTTTGTATTTTCTCCGTAACCATTAGGCGCATAATAACGCTTCAATATACTAAATTATTTGTTTTTTAAAGCTCTACAAAATGGTTTGGAAAGAAATTGCAAAATTTTATGTTTTTTGGGTCAAAAATGGGAAAAACCTATTTTTACCCCATAAAACCCCCCGTAAACCCCCGTTCCCATGGTCCGATCATGCTGGATCGCGAACTCGTTCGAATAAACGTACGTTTCCACGTTTGTACCGAATTTCATCAAAATCGGATCATTTTTGCTCGAGTTATCGTGCTGACGGACACATATATATATATATATACTAGCTGACCCGGCGAACTTCGTATCACCTAAGTTATAGGTTTCCCCTAAGACAGACCGATGGAAAGAAAGTACAGTTACGTTTAATTTTCAAGATGATCTCGTTCGCATCGCTCAATCACGTCCTGGTTGAAGTTCGTTCGCTACGCTCACTCACCTTTAGGTTGGAGCTCGTTCGCTGCGCTCACTTGCCTTCAGGTTAGCTCGTTCGCTACGCTAACTCTCCTCCAGGTTGAAGTTCGTTCGCTACGCTCACTCACCTTTAGGTTGGAGCTCGTTCGCTGCGCTCACTTGCCTTCAGGTTAGCTCGTTCGCTACGCTAACTCGCCTCCAGGTTGAAGTTCGTTCGCTACGCTCACTCACCTTTTGGTTGCAAATTAGCTGTTGTCATAAATGTAAAAGAAATAATAGTGCTGCACCCTGTTGGTAATCCTTGTAACTTTAATGCTATTGAACATCATAGAACAGAACCAACTTGTTTAATTGAAACAGCTGTTAAGATTCATTAATTCCATTTCTCATAAGGTTAACATGGGAAACTCCAGAGCCACTGGGGCGGAGCCCTTTTAAGAATTTCGAAACGGGAAATAGTTTACGTCCGATTCGCATACCTACAGAATTTACACACCAAATTTCATAACGATCGGTGAAGTCGTTCCGGAGGAGTTTGCAGACAAACACTGTGACACGAGAATTTTATATATTAGATATAGGGTGAGTGCACCAGTGAATGGCCGTTAAACAGCTCCATGGCGTCGACGACGCGGCGTTATTGCTGCTCGTATAACAGCACTGAATTTTTAGTTCAGCGTCGGCGTTTTATCTGTCGTGTTCTTGCTGTCCGTATAACATGGGCCTAAGGTTGACTTTCTACTTGTAACGACATGGGAAAATATACTACTAAGCTACATTGTACGAAATCGTTTAAATATATTGCCCATATTTCCCTGTACTTCCTGATGATACTACTTAATGTATTATGTTCCAAAAAAGTATCGAAAATACAATTTTTTGCACATAAATCACCGCACCAGTGAATGACCGCATATTACATAACAATTTTAAAATTGTATTAAACCTCCTCCTTTTCACCGAATAACCCCCGTTCGAGATTTTCGCATGGAAGCTGAAAACCCTGTAGTGAAAAATAACAATATCAGGGTCATTAAAATATAGGTTCTAGTGAAAGATCACTTTTTATCTAGGAAATGACCATAATATTTAACTCGCATTCAAACTTTGGTTTATATCAGTGTATCCACATAATTTCTAACAAACATTTTTGTTTCCTAGCAATCGCTTACTCAATCAGAAAACATTGTCATCAATAGCAATAAAGAAAATAAACCCAAATCGGCCAATTAACCGAAACGGTCATTCACTGGTTATACCCTAATTTGTGAACCAGTAGCTGACCGGCAGTTTAAATATGCAATTGGTTTGGATTTTTATCTTAAAATGAGTACAGAATTGTACCTTAACATATTAACTATGAATTACATGTAATATATTAGAGTTCCAATCAATAATTAAGGAGCCGTGACAAATTACAACCAACCATGTTTGTGCGAGACGCCATAGTGGGAAGCTTAGAAACGAACTGCTTGAAACATCTAATTTTGTTTATGTTACAAAAGGATGATTGACACTTTCTTTTTGAATCAGTCACAGAGTTAATTTTAATAAGGCCCCAAAGTTACTTTTAAACACGTTTGTAATGGACAAGGAAATACAGAAAGCCTGTTATGAGGTTTTTTATACAAAACGGTCATTCACTGGGGGGTGGTCATTCACTGGTGCACTCACCCTATATAAATAAATATATATATATATATATATATATATATATATGAATTTGAACGGATGGTGTTTTTGGCCTCTAGGGACCTCAAAACGAAAAAAAAAACCGGTCCCGCGTCCAGGTCTTACCATGAGTACTACGGTAATAGCTTATTCCCTATATGGGAAATTCGCTAAAAGTAAAAAGTCGAAAAAAAAACATTTTCTACACTAAACAATTTAAATTAGCTGTTGTCAAACAAAAAGTTATTAGTGCTGTGCCCTGTTTGTAAACCTTGTAAAGGTTGTGTAAACCTTGTTGTTTGTAATGTTGCAATGGAATGCTATTGAACATTATATAGAACCAACTTTTTTAACTGCAACAGCTGTTAAGATTCATTAACTTGTTTTAAATAATACTATAATACTCTCATAAGGTTAACCTGGGAAACTCCAGAGCCACCGAAACGGCACACGGAAGATTTCTCAGGTGCCGTTTGACGTCACTAACTGCTGACGTCACTTTGAGGGAACACCAATACCGCAACGACACGATTTAGAGCCAATCGGCCTCGGTGGTGTAGTGGATAGCGTGGCGGGCTAATAGTCCTAATGTACCGGGCTCGAATCCCGCCGGTAGCACTAACTTTTTGTCATCAATTTTTTTTATATCAGCAAGTTTGGTTGGTTTGGTTAGGTTATGACAGTTTAATTTTATAATTTAAAAAATTATAAAATTGAATTTTAGGCATTTATAATTTTATTTTATGAACCAAACTATTTTTTAGATTAGTAAACCTTCATTCGATTTTTCCATTATCAGCACGTTTGGATAGTTTGGTTTTTGGTTAGGTTATGACAGTTTAATTTAATAATAGAAAAATTATAAAATTGTCTGTTTCTTCAGACGCAGCAGTTAGGACGTCAGCAGTTAGTGACGTCAAACGGCACCTGAGAAATCTTCCGTGTGCCCCACCGCCAGAGCCACTGGGGCGGAGCCCGAAAGTCCGATCAGAATAAAAACTACTTCGTTTTCCTATTGAATGCATAAAGAATCAGTGTTCCAATTTTCAGCCTCCTAGGTAAATGGGAAATAGAAGAATTAGTGATGAGTGAGTGAGTGAGTCAGTCAATGAGGGCTTTGCATTTTATATATATATAGTTTTGCTGGTTGACGCAGAAGGAAAATTCCTAAAATATGATAATTCGACAGACAGAATTAATGTGGGGCTATAAGTTCTCATCAAACAAAATACCCCCAGAAATTTTACTCGAGTAGTGGCTGTCCAGTTTCAGTGTCGTCCAAAATAAATTTTGTTCCTTTTTGGATTTTCTAGTTTAAAATTCAACATGCTGTGTTTTTGTTGGATTGATTTTGAGGATATTTTCATTAAACCACTGCAATACAACTGGCTTGTATAAAGACACTTATGCCTAGTTCAAGTCGGCTTGGGTCGGAGAATCAGAAAAAAGACATACTTCATCCTTTTGAACAAATTGATGGTAGGTCGTTGATGAAAAGGAGGGAACAGTACCGGGCCAAGAACCGACCTCTGAGGCACTCCACTGCCGACGAGTCACTGACGATCGAGCCAGAGTGATGAGGATCTCTGAGAGCGAAAGACACCCATGAGAGCCCACTGCCTTCACATCAACGTATAGACTTTGGTTGGCAAAGTAAGACGAACGCCAACGTAGTGACAGCCCTCTAACTACATAAGAGTGTAACGTATCTTTGAAATATGCTAAAAATATGCTGCTACATGTCCATAAAATATGCTTTGGTCCGGTCAAAGAAGAGGCCAGAAGCTCTCTCACGAGTCTAGAGTCATACGTACCTACCTCTATCCAGTGCACCTTGCCACTGTTGATACTAGGCGAATGGCGTCTCTTATCAAGCTGTTTTAACGAAGCCAAACTGTTAACTGGTGGGTATGTCATTTTAGGTAGAAATGCCAGCAATCGTTTTAGGAACAGTTTGTTCGGTTGTAGGTTATAGGTCAATCATGCTGTCCTTTTTTGGCAAACTTCTTTCTCTAGGATTACCCTTTACCCGACCTGTGGTTTTCCTTTCTTTTCAGTGGAAATGCTATTTCAACTATGTGGCGTAACTGGCTTTCAAAGTAGGAACTACACAAAGGGAATAACACACAAAGTAGCGAACGTTTTTCATTCATTGTTGTCGCGTTGTACTGATATCCAATTCATTGACTTTATATCTACGTAGCATAAATTGTAGCATTTCATTATTATTGTATTCTCTGGAAAAGTGGAAAGTTGATATTTTATAAGATTATCTCTGTCAGTCAACTACGGGACTCAAACGCAAACATCACTAACATTAAACCATTGATAACATAGGATGTATAATCAATGATCAAACGCACTTAAAACAGGGTTCTGATTTTACATTAGGATGAGAAGTTCACTAGTTTGCGTGTACTGTACAATGCCAATGGTTTCACATAAAAATATTCAAAATAGATTAAAAGTAATGTTTATCTTTACTTTTACCATAGACTATGCTTTTACATATGAAAACCTCTTTTTGTCTAAAGGTCATCAGTTCTGGTACTCTATGTATTTTCCACTATCCTGTGAGCATGCGCGTGATCGAGCGCGATTTCTTTTGGACTTTTTTCCTGTATATTATCATTCAGTCCAGTCCAGTTCCAGTATGTTGCTATTTGCCAAGCCATTTTAGCCAATGAACCAATGCTGTTAAAGCTGTTCAGTTGTTTGCTTTGCTTCTTAGCTATTTTCTGTTCTCTGTTGTTATCAGCTGAGTGAAATGTTTCGCGTTTCAGTCAGTCACTCAGCCAGCACTAGCACTCAGTTAGGTCTTAGGCTTAGGTGTGGACTACAATAAATAAGTGTGTGATAACAGCATTCACTTTGCGATAGATCTATCAAATCTTTCAAATCACTGTGAGCAAGCCGAGCGTGTATGGTTGCTAAATAAGGTAGTGCGGGTGTTAAATGCAGGTTGTGTTAGCCTACGCGTGGAAGTGCCGAAGTGATTGTCCATAGCCTAGGCCTAGTGCATGCTATTCTGGAAAGAAGTTGTATATGAATATTTTCAATTTTTCTGTGACGTTAATTGAAGGTGGTTTTAGTTTTCTTTGCAATTGTGGAGACCTAAGTTAAAGTTATTATTCAGTGTAGTTACTCAGGTATTCATAACCTAAACACAAAGGCCTAGGCCTTACGTTTCTTTCTGAAATAGGTTTGTGGAAATTTGTAGTTTTGTTTCAAAATAAGAAGATTTGTTCACAAGATATGCCTTTAGCTGGACTTGCAGATCCAGTTGATCCATGGCAGCGAATAACTCAAGTGAAAGAAGAGGTCGAGGTAAGTTAAAGAAATTTTGAAGAAGAACCTAACCTATAAATTAGTTGCTTAAGCCAGTTTAGAACAGAGGCTATTTAAGTATTACAGATTTAGCGTACCTAAGTTGTATGCATATTTCTAATACAGTATTAATAAATGCCAAGCACATTTGTACTCAGAGTTTTTGATAGAACTTTGATAATATGATTCCTCAGGTTAACTTAACTTATCGATTGCCAGGACATATTAGGCATAGGGTGTAGCTCAGTTGATATAGCTTAGGGCGTACGCCTAGTGCTCGCCTTGTAATCAATAGGTTGCCAGTCCGATCATGAAAAAATCGTTTAAGTTAGCTATTTAGGCCAAATGGTTAGAAACTGGACCCGGCTGCTGTCCTTGATCATTGGGCTTTCAATAAATTGTCCTTACTAATGAAGCAGCTGGTCTTAGTTAGTAACAAAGCTACACTAGGCATCACACTCCATTCTACACTCATAGGGTGAAAACATAGTTGAGCGGCTAGGCCAGGCTGTAGGGTGAGCATAGCTGAGAGTTTTTATTCCCCGATGGTAGCGGTGTTGCACATGCACATATTGGAGCGAGTCAAAAGGCTGATATTACAGTACCAGTACTGGTAACTAAGGTACCTAACTTGCTTTTGAATACACTGTAAAACCTGATTTATCTATCATCATGAGGGTAAATAATGTAGCCTACTGATTTTGTAAATAAGTGACTGAATGGCAAAAAAAGTAACACAGCAGAGTGGAAATTCATTGAAAAACTGCCTACCCTACATAGTAGCCTATTTAAAATACCGTTAATGAAAATTGCCATGATAGGCCTATATAATTTATAGAAACTTCTAGGCTACGGTAACTTACCTACATAATAATTGCATTAAAACGGAAAAAATTTTAAAGTAGGCCTTACAGGATTTAAATTACAACTTAATAGGGGAGACCGGGGCACTATTGGACAAAAAAACCTGTTTCACATCAGACATTTTGTTCATGATGAAAACAAAAATTTAATGGTTTTTCCCTTGCATGTACTTGTTCTTGAACATTCCCTAGTGCATAAAAAAAAATTGTTTAAATTGATATTACACAATTTTATCATATTTGTGGACCAAGTTTTTCAAGCCTACATTTTGTCCAAATTTGCCCCGGCGGGGCAGTTTTGGACAGACCATAATTTTTAATGGGGCACAATTGGACACTGCTGAAAGTTGGGACTAAAAACAAATAACAAGCACAATTTGGTGGGTACTGATAAGTATAATATTTGAGTCATTTAATAAGACATTAAAAGACGCTTGAAAATAGAAATAAGTGTGAAATATTAGGCTATTTAAAGTTACATTTACACAAATTGTCTGAATACAAAAATGTCCTTGGTTAACTTATTTAAAGTTACATTCAGATAAATTTTCTTTGAAAACCAAACAGTTGCCGCACGTGATGTTCCTCCAGTGATGTCTGGCTGACGCATCTTGTAAAGAATGTCTGTAGGGTCTACTACACTAACTTCGGGAGTGTCTGGAAAGAAGAACTTGTAAGAGTTGTCTCTCTTCTTCAAAAACTTCACAGTGAACCCATTCTCACAATGCTCTTCAATCTGACCGATGAAGTGGTAGTACACATTTTTTTTTGTAGCAAACTTAGTCAAAATGAAATCGTTTACTTCAAAAGATTGGTCTTCCAAAGGTGCAAAAAAATCGTCTTCATCCTGTGAGAATTCTTCAGGGCTGTCCCCTCCATCATCAAACTTCAGTTCATCATCCTCGGTGTCACTTGAGTCATTGTTCTTGTAACAAAGTTTCTTTGAAATGCCTTCAAATTTCATTTTTTTATTCTCCTTTCGTGCTGCTCTCTCTGATTTTCGTTTTTCAGCTAACAGGCGTTTTTCTTCTTTTTCCTTTGTCTGTTGTAAAAGTGCATCTTTCTCTGGGGTATCCGTTAAAACACGGGATCGACCTTTTTTTCGCCCTGGTTTTTGATTAGTTTTTGGTACATATTTGGGGAAGGGCATTACATCTTTTGGGGAGATTATTAAGCTATCAGCAGATAGGCCTAAGTCTGAACTGTCTTTGTTTTTTTCTTGTTGAGGGGTTGAAGGTGCAGTCTCGATAGGCCTATTATTTGATGGACTGTTACTTGTGGATGAGATCAAAAGATCCATTTCAGAGTCAGAATTTTCTTCAGTAGGCCTACTATTTCTTGACAAATCAATTGTATGGATTGTGGATGGTGCGCTAAATGATGTACTTGGCACAACTATGTCTGGATCAGCTACTACAACAGAAGGGCGATCAGTCACACTCGCACCTTTAAAATCTTCACCTGTAAAGATATTACGGTTCATTGGGTGGATACCTGCTTTTCGAAAACCACTCTTAATGTTTGACTCGGTGAATGATTCAACAAAAGGCTTTGCTGTTAGTTTGGCAATTTCCCTAATAGTGATTGTGTGGCCGGGATTCTCTGATAGCCAGATGTTATATTCTGTAGCAAGACGCCTTTTAAATGGTCCAAAAACTGAAGTATCTAGCGGTTGCATGCGGTGTGTTGTATGGGGATGAAACGTTAGTAGATGAATGCCATTGTCCCTGCAGTACAAAACCACATCTAGACCAACATGTGATTCGTGGTTGTCAAGAATTAAAACTAAAGGATTTGATTTTGAACACTCTTTTACCACCTGGATGTGTTTCAGTGTCTCTAAAAAAAGTTCTCCATTCATCCAACCATTATGGGAATAGAGGTCTTTAGAACCCTCAGGTGATCCTATCATATAGGCAAAGTTGGGGCGTTTCCTGGGAAATATATAAACTGGTGGTAAGTAACTTCCATCAGCGCAAATGAAAGCACAGAAGGTTACCTGCTCCCCCCTTTCTGCAGACACTACTTGCCCCACTTGTTTAGTGCCCTTAGCTGCTATAACTTTGGGTGCCTCTAACACAGTGCTAATACCACTCTCATCTAAATTCACAATTCGTGAAGGTGAAGGATTCACCTTTGCAAACAAAGTTTCTAAATTATCAAAGAAAATGCCAACATTGTGGGCATTAAAACTTGTGTTACGTGATAAACTTGTGTTTTCAGCTTGCCGAAGTGAAAGATCTGGATTCCTCTTCATGAAATGGTACATCCATTCTTCTCCTGCTAACTTTGTAGTGTGCCATTTTTGAGGAATACGCTCGTTGAGGTTCAGGGCGACAGCATACTTGTAGGCTAGTTCTCTAGCCAAAGCATAAGTGAGGCCATAATTAATCTTTGACCTCTCTATACAATAATCCACAATCATAGCTTCTTGTTCAGGTGTAAAAACTTGCCTATGAGAGTATTTTGAACAATAAACTGGGGCCATATCTTCTGTAGTAATTAACTTTACAGGTGGTTGAGGCATGTCTTCCTCCTCATTTTCCAAATCTAATTCTTCAGGCTCACATCCTTTATTTTCCTTTTTTTTTAATTTTGCTTAATCTAAAATGCAGTGTTGATTTTTTTAGTCCATGTGCTTCTGCTGCTTCCCTAATAGAGCGGTAGTTTCCATTTCTGTAGTCATTAAGGGCCTGCACTATTGCTTCTTCTGAAATGTCCACTCTATCAGTCTTCTTTTGATACTTCCTGACCATTTTAACCTGTAAAACCCAAACTAAATATAAGAGCACTGAACACAATTCATAAAAAATTGTGTCCAATTGTGCCCCAAATATTTGTCCAAAACTGCCCCGTAGTAGGTTTGGATTCAAAAGTGCAAGTCATGAGAAAATAGTTGACATAACCTCAATCCTAGCCTAAGCACAATATAATCAAATGAACAAGTAATCTAAAAACTATGCATTTGTTATTTAATACCCAATACATACTTTTTGAGAGTAGAATCTGTGCAACTGGAAAATCACTTCACTTTCGGTGAAAAACACATGTTATTTTATAATTTTGTAACACCTTATACCACAGCAACCAAACTTTCCACAGTGACATGTGACTGCCCCAGGTGTGGCTGTGTGGGAGATTTAGAGGGGAAAAAATATTCCCTCAACCTTAAAATGGCTTTGTCCAATTGTGCCCCTGTCCAATAGTGCCCCGGTCTCCCCTATGTCTCTAATGGGAAAACTGTACCTTTTTGACAAAAATAATTAGGCCCAGGCCTACATGATATCATTTCATGCATCGTAAAAATTACAAAATAAAATTACTCCCCGTTCCTCTATGTTTTGGCGCACAGTTACCTACATGTATGACTTAAAACTCACTTAGGCCTACCTATGCCTCGCGGATCCACTTTATGTTTTCATCCTTGTTTGGGTAAAAATACACACATAGGTGGGCGTTCCCATCTCAAATGGTAATAATATTTAATTTGAAGGAATGGTGTTTTTGGCCTCTGGGGACATCAAAATGAAAAAGAAAATGGGTCCCGGGCCTAGGTCTTACCATGAGAACTATGGTTTTAGCTACTTCTACTTCTACTAGGCTATAGCGAAATTCGCTAAAAAAACATTAGGCCTATTTCTATTTATTCTCCTTGGTGGTGTTCTATGACTTTGACTTTCCTATGTTTCTATAGTTCGCTAATCGGCTCTTTCAATGATTACTAAGAAATGCAGTAGGCCTACAGTGTTCATTCAGTTTTCTTTTTAGTAGCCTACCTAGGCCTACAGTGTGGCCGAAAAGTCCCTTTACACAATTTGTTATTACGTTTTACACTGTTATAAACGGAACAACGGCCAATACTGACACGTGTGGGGTAAGGGCGCAGTGGTGGGAGAAAGTGAAACCCCTCCCCGCCTCCGCCCCGCCACGCGGGCTCAGCCCAAGGTCGCCGACGCCCAAATGTCAGTCCAAATCAGTCTCAGTCCAAATGTGAGTCAGACAACATGGCAGACACCAGTGTGTTTAGTGTCGAGGAGCGTTTGGTTGCTTCTGTGTGGGTGCATGAGCGTCCTCACAACAGAAAAACAATGGAGGAAATCATGAATGACTTTGCAGTGCGGTTTGGGAAACCTTCAC